GTTTGCGACACGGAAGATGTAGAGATCAAACTCAGACTGCATTGTTCTGTTCAGCATAACGTCAGCAGCGACTATCCTCTTGATTGCCGTTTTGCATTGTTGCAGGATGATCAAGTCGCCCAAATTGAGAAAAGCCTCCCAGTGCAGCTTAAATAGATTATCGCGGAGATTGTCAAATAGAGGGTCTGTGCGAAAAGCTAGAGCGTGCGCTAGCGAGAAGATCGTCTTCATGCGATGGCAAATCATCGCATACATTTTGTCGACATCTGCACTCCTAAGCTCCAGGACGGCCCTTATATTTGGCGGCATCGTGTGAAAGTGATGCACAACGGCTAGAAAGAAGGCTAAACACTTGAAAATGTCAACTCGTCAGCCTCCAAGAACGTCAGACAATAGCATATAGTACTGAGAAGCACTTCCATGACTGTGACGTTCTTCCAGAAAGCTGCCAACAAGATCAGGTCCCTTAGGTCGTTAGGAAGATCAACGTCGAGGTCAATCGACATGATTTTGCTTGGCACCTGGCATATTGGCGTCCGCACCCGATTCAAGCGCTTAGAACTTCTCGGACCGTTGCCTAGCGCGTTTTCGTGAACAGAATAAGCACGAGCGTGTTCCCATACTTATAAGCTATTAAACATAACATAATCATAATTAATATAATGTTTAATATTGTAATCTATGAAACATAACATACTTATAATTCATTATCATTAAGCTATTCGAATAGTTTACAAAGTGTCTACGCAGGAGGGAATAGGATAAAATCTTCTTCATTTGAGCCTTTCTGAGCCAACTTGCGTGAGAGTTGTGGTCAAGATCAACTCGTAAGTGATTATGCTACTCCCTTCTTAGCTGTTGCAGATTGCTGATGGAGAGATGCGTGAGAGTTGTGGTCGATATCAAGTCGTTAGTGATTATGCCACTCCTTTCTAAGCTGTTGCAGATTACTGATGCAGAGATGCGTGAGAGTTGTGGTCGAGATCACAATTTGGCACAATTGATCGTCCAATGCACGGTGCAATGGACGATAAATTGTGCCGATTGTGGAATGATAAGATGATTCAATGCGGGGCAGCACAGGAAGCCTCACAAGCATCAACTATTATTAGCTTCTCATATAGTTGTATACATGGTCATGTATTAAACATATGTATTATACAGACGTTCTATACACACAGTTCCATACTTACTACAAGCAATTCATCTCTCCAAGCGATTCGCAATTGAAAGTCTCAATTCTGAAGAGGTGGCAAACTTAATAAACCCCTAGGAGAAGCACATCCAAATGACTACTTTACTAGTTCTATTGTTTATTACAATTTGAATCTTATATTTAAATTGTAAGAATATTTTTTTCATCTATTTTTTCAATAATCATTCAAATTTTGTAGTTAATTTAAAATATTTTAACATATAATGTTTTAATACATTAAATTCATTTGAATTTATGAAGATACACTCAAATTTTTTTATAATTATATTTGCTTAAAACTTTGGATTTCTAATTAAATGATATAATTGTATTAACATTTTGAATATTTTTTGTTAAATAGTAATATAATATAGTATTAAATAATTTTTTAAAATATTAATGAAATATTTTTTATGTATTACGTTTTGAATTATTATTAATATTATGTATTCATATATAATATTTTATATTGGGAAGAGAAATTCGATAATAATATAAATATAACATAAATTCAATAATAATATAAATATAATATAAATTCGATAATAATTTAAATATAATATAATTCAATAATAATATAAATAGATAAATTTTTTCATAAAAATCAAGCTAGCAAATAAATGATTATTTTTATAGTTTATTTGTTAAATATTCAACAATACACATCACATTCTATGATATTTTTAAAAGACATTTAATAAGTTTTACTTAGATTGATCTCATCACAAATGTTATCATAGTTTCATGATATTTTGTTATGTTGTTATAATTTTGAATATGAATTTATTATTTGATCTGATTTTAAGTAGTTTCTTTCAAAAATGTGATATATTAGATAATCACATTTATTTATTTATTTGAAATTTCTTTTGGAATATTGTGATCATCTGTTGTGAATGAGAGCGGGAGTTGCTGGTTTGTCTTTAATTTTTTAACTTGTATAGAATTTATTAGACTTGTTATATTTATTCAAATTTTAAAATTATTCATTCTTTCATGAAAAAATTAATTAGCAATAACATCAATCATCGCTATATTTACTATTTTTGTCCATAATTTTTAAATCTTTGAGATATATATCACTACATCTTTCTTGATTTGATACAAAACTTTTTCATGATATGTTGAGATATATATATGTATCAAAACATCTTCAATAATTTAAGTTACAATTAAGTTTTTGACAATAATTTAATTGTACATTAATACTTGAAACTCCTTGAGCTCAAAACAAAAATTCAATGGCTAGGTATTATCATATTGATAAACTCAAAATTTAATTTTGACTACAACATTTAGTTATTATAAATAATGTTGCAATAATGGGTTAAAGTTTGTTCTTAATAAGTCATCAACAATCACATTGGTTCGTTCTCTTTGATAAACTATAATCTGTAATATTAGCATCAAAGATGAGATAACTCTGGACATCAAACCCCCCAAATATGTTAAGATCAATTCAATATTTTAACATAATGTTATCTTTTTAACGTCGGTGTTCATCATTATAACTCCAATGATCAATGTCAAGATGTTTATTTGAGACATACTCTTGCCACCTTGTTGTCAAGTGTGAGATCAAGATGAATGAGATATTCAGGTTTAAGATTTATGAGATATTCAAAAAAGTATTAATTAATTAATATTATTTTTAAATTTAAAATTATTTTCTTCAAGGTATATTAACAAATAAATGTTAAGATGAAGGGCTTTTCTTTCTTCCATACTATAGTAATTAGTTGTTATCCACGATAAGAATTTGTATGTAAAATTTACGTTTTAACCTTAGATAAAGAAGTGATAATTTCTGAAATTTTGTTTGTTGTATGAACAACAACTTAAGAAAATTTCCAATTTTTAGTATTCAATTTCTTTTAAAGAATTTACTCGTAACATTCTGTAACGAGAATTGTATTAGTATGTGAATAATGTATATTATAGTTTTTAACTTTATGTTAGATTAAGAAAAACTAATTCATTCAAAGATGAAATATGACTTTGAACATGAAAGATGTTTTTATTTTTTTTCCATGAATATTATTAACAAATACAAGGAAAAAAATCATACTCAACATCTATTTCATTTCTAATGGATTTGTGATATATCTTATAATTTTAACATTCACATAGACTGTTTGAGTGCCATTTTCAATTACCACATTCAATTTTTATCTATTGCAGATCGTTTATATATATATATATGTATATAAGAAATAGGAAAATATATTATTTTGATTTTGCATAAATTCATTTAAATTAACTGAAAGTGACCACATTTTATAACATATTTTTATATTTTAAATTTTCTTTCCAATATATTTTAGATATAGAACATTGTTTCCTGATGCTAAAAACCTATAGATAATTTATATGCACAATAGTATATCTATTCCTTTCTACATTGTGAAGCAGCCATATACATGTGAATAGATAAGATCTAGTAATTCTACTTCTTTATTTCTGATCTCTACACAAATGGTAAAAACTTTAATTATCATATCAAAGACATCAATAACTTTCTGATATTAGATCAGCAACATATAAGTTAAAATTTTGTACATAATCTCCTCATAATAATTGAAAAGAATTTGAAATTCAGATGCTAATTATTTCTTAGCAATGATGTTATATTACTTGGTAAGGTATATCTAAAAGTATTTCAGACTTAAACTAGATATACCAACTCGGAGATCTAATCCTAACATGCCCTATGAAACCTGAACCTTGAATCGTCAAGAGTATAAAATTGATTAAAAAAGTGCTTATATTTATTTATTTATCTATGATAACTTAACCAAGATGAGCAACGCATTCCGTACCATATTCTGGTAATAACACTTTTATTTCAACCCTCTACCAATCAAGTAAAAAATGCACTCCGTGGCTAAAGTCGTAAATATCATCCAGATCTTAAATGAGAAGTAAGTAGATCTTCTGCATGCAGTCCACTTAGGCCGAACTCTTGCCTTTCTAGGAACTTGGACCTGAATCCTCAATTTAAAGAAGAGAATATGTAAGTTAGCTTTGTGTTTTATAGCCTTTTGACCCTTTGGGTCCCACGGGCTTGATCTATTTACCATTTAACTACATTACATCTCAGATGTACAGTTTGTCAAAATTTAGTTTACCTTATATTGCGCAGTCCTTGTAGATAGTGAATGGAACTGATTTAGACGTTAACAAATACGTCACCATATGTGAGGCATTGGAGCATCCGCCAAGATCATGAAGTTCGAGCACTCGGCTAATATGCTCGGCAGCTTCCACACGGTATTGGCCGATCTGCTAGAGATCATGGCCATATTTCCTACTTCCTTCAATTCTTAGAAACAATCCACGAAGAGTTTGTAAGTTCTTGCGAACGTACTTTACTGCATACAACTTAAGGTCGAAAGAAGGTTATATCATTTAAAACCAGATGAAACCTATCTAAAATGAAGCTTAATGCGCGAAAACAATAAGAGATTAGCTCAAGGGGTCAAGCGGTGCCGCCGACAGGGAAACCCTCGGGAATTGGGGGCTACCGCATTCGCTACTTGTTAGCTATCATGAACTCCGTCATAGCATCTAGAAGTCTCGACGTCTCGACATTTAAGTCTTTACGTGCGTAATTACATCAATGACAAAGGAACATTCTATGCAGTCAGATGGTTGTGAAAGTGCCTGTTTACCAAAATGATCATTCAAACTGAACACGGATATTCTTCAGAGGTGCATTTGAGAGATGTAACCTCTTAAATGATCTCGACCAGGGATAACTTTGACATCAACCTATGAGACAAATGAGACCAAATGTTGTATCTGTTACAATTGAAACTTGAACTTTCGATCACTTGCTGAACTCTTCCAATCTCTTATACCATCAGAAACTTGTTGTCCAAAGCTACCGAAGTGATGCCTGAAATTTTCTGTGGATTTTCCAATAATCTGGAATACCGACTCACTTTAAGTGCAGGGTATCGTTTCTATGTTGCACCTACGAACCACGAAGATACACCAAACTGATGCTCATATACTCTATAGAAATCTACCAATAGAATGGAGAAGCATGGCGCATAAACACTATCTTCATTTTACGCTGAAATAGCAAGTTAACAAGATGAGAGTCGCCAAAATGTATAACCTCTTTATCAGGAGTAAATGCTCACCCAAAAACGGTCAAATATTCATCCCGTGAAAAAAATGACAATATAAGAACAGATCTCTACAACTAGTCCATAAGACACAGACTTTGGCACTGCCTGCCTGTAACGAGATTGACGTTACTTGCTGGCTTGAGCGGGAGAGATTTCATCAGAAGTAAGTCAGCTGATCCACAATGGATACTCCGAATGTAAGACATCAAAGTGGGCAGCTCTTGTCAAAATCCGCTTGCTGCTTTCGGCAAAGTTCAAACTCATTACCATAGTAGTCCATGCACTTCGTGAATGCATCCATAGCCTTAGGACATGTTTCATGCAAATCACGCAACCTGCAAAGAAAAACAAGCAACTCTATTAATATAAAGGCAAAGAAGCACACGATTCAAAAAAAACTTCAAGGTTCCGAGGTTTACATAGATAAACAGGAATCACATATGTTAAATTAGCGAGATCAAGTACAAGAACTCAATGCAGACGGCGGGGCTATGACCAAACCTTGAAAGGTGTGCTACACAGTGTGTTTCCAGTTGTACATGGAGGTCAGTGGCAAAAGATTCATTGGCATAGAATGGACACGCAAGCTCCTAATTGAATGCATCATGAAGGAAAAAGCTCAGGCCGATGTTTGTAGTTGAGAGCAACCTCCAAACCAGTGTAGATATCAATAAAGAATAAATGAGATTCAAATAGAAAAACGTGGAAGTGGAAGAAAAGTGTAAGTAGGTATCACCAAGGTACCCCGGAAGGGATGTGCAATGTTGGACTCTACAGCTAAGAAACAGAATCCACTGGCTCTAGTCACATATAGGAAGGTACAAAATTAGATGACAACTTCCACAAGCGAAAGAAATATGTGCGGACATGCACAGGGAGATGAGAGCCCGTAATCTGCAGTCTACATTGGAGAAATACACAACGTGTCCTTGAGTACCGATAAAAGAAATGAACAGTTTGACAAACGGGGAATCCTTAATTCATAAGGTGAGATGGATGCTAAAGCAAGAGTTTGCGTATATGCCTTTCACAAGTTATCAATAAAGCAGCTGTGTTTTGCTATCTATAAAGATGCTTTTTGAAAGTCTTACTGTGGTAAGTCCAAAGGAAAAACTGAAGTCGAGATGAGAACCTTGTCTTTCAAGCAACGAGCTTCATATCTCAATCCCTCAAGGAAGTCAAAACTATAATGTGGGTGTACGTTGTACAGTCCGCACATCAACTTTCAACACTAATTGAAAAGGGCAGATTGTCAACATCAATGTTCTGCCCTCGTGTTTGTGTCAGCGTCTGTCATACATTTTCACTGATTCTCTTGTGTAAATTCACGAATACCATCCTTATTTTGAATTTTCAGCATTCAGGGAAAAGAAGGAGCCATCGCCCGACGAGGAAAACGATGATTTGATGAGAAAGAAACGGAGCTGAAGTCGGGAAGAAGAAAGACGAAGAGCACACAATGTTGAAGCGATAGGGAAAGATTTGATCTTACAAAGAAACGACACACTTTGTAACTTTCTGTCCTTGAGCGAGGCATTTCTCGGGATTGGGATCGTCCCGCTTGCAGTTGAGGAAAGCACGATTCTCTTCTCCACATCTGGACGTGATGTGCTTGGAGGTGGACATTAACACCGCAGAAGTAGTCACGGGCGCCGACTGCAACGTCTCGCCTCCCATTTCGTCCGACCGCCCTAAGCTCGTCCGCTCTTCTGCGTTGCTGCCGGTCTCGCAGCAGGTACTCGCCGATCACCAAAACACGATCAAATAATCACGAGACCAGCATGAGAGGATTGGCACTCGGATTCCCTCGACTAGCACGGGGCCGGAATAACAATCATGGATCCGTCCGGGTGATCGATCTGTTAAGAAAAGCCCGATCTGCTCTGCTGCTCTGCGCTCGCGTCTCCCCGTCTCACCCTTCCCTTCCCTTCCTCTTTGCTCCGTCTCCTTCTCGTCCTTTTTCCTCGCCCTGCTCTGCCTTCCAGATCCCTCCCTCCCGTCCCTTCCCTCCCCTCCCCTCCGGTCCCCAACCCGGATACTAGAGTCACTGCTTGCTCTTCGTTGCCCTTGCGGTCATCGCGAACCTCGGGGCATCCGGCACCGAAAATGGGCTACACGCTCGTGGACTTGCGGTTGGATTTTCTACCATTTTTTCGTTTCACAAGTGGACGTAAGTTTCTGATTACTGTACATTCATTTTCTCCTTTTCCCACCTCATATTCTCGAACTTGATACATATCATTTTAATTGGAACTGAGAACGAATTATTTATGAAGTCAAAATGAGTCGAAGTGGAGCTCTACATTGACTCATATCTCTTAGATCAACGGTGCACTAAGATCTTCTCACCAACTAATTGATTTCCGTGGTCAAGATTTTACTACTTTGGTCAACTGGGTCATCAACTTTAACTAAAACTTAAATTTTGATTAACATACAGTACCAAGAACATATGTCATCTCAAGCATTTATTTAAATTAACTTCTTCTTCTTCTTCTTCTTTTATCAAAATGGCCATCTCGGAGGTCGAGAAGAGCAAAATAATACACAAAAATGATTATTCATATGAGAATGGTCATTGGCTTTTGTCATCGCCCCTGTTGATAACAATAATCTATTAATGTAAGCATGTTTCAAAATAATTTGCATTCTGGCATGATCGCCACAAATATTTACTATAATTTTTATACATTTTCCAGTGAAAATAAGTGAATATTCGAAGAGATAAGGTTAATCGTAGTTCACAAATATCTCGAGTTTGTAAGTAATACAAATCATATTACATAGGGCGGATAAACTTTAACAAACTAAATACCATATTATATGCATATTGATTGATCATTGAATAATGTGTAAAATAATATTATTATTCAATGATTTATTTCTTTTAAAAAATGAATACATACAAATCATCATCAACAACATACTATTTATATGTCAAGATATTATTCTGTTATCAAATGATAACATAATAATATCTTGACATATGAATAGTATGCATACAAAATAATACCAAATAATTTCTTTACATTTTTATGCATATATAATGCAAATTGGAATATCAGAAAAAGATAGAAAAAAACAGAAACAAAAAATACATGGATTACTTTAATCCAAAGACAAAATAAGAGCTGATGTAATTACATTGAAAATTTCAATTAGGTAGTAAAAAATTAACTAAATTTATTTTTTCAAAAGCACAATTCTAAGTACAAAAAATTTGTAAGATAAAATACAAACATAATTTTCTACATAATATATATTCGTAAATATGTTTTATGCATTATTGATAAAAAAACGAAAAGAATTGTATCATTTTCAAAAAATTTATAAACTAAGTTAATAAAAAATTTAAGATTGTTTCCATATTTTAAGAAGTGTGTCTAATAATAATTATAAATTATGTAAAGTGATTGTGAGAAAAAAATGGAATATTAGTCAATATATATATATATATATATATATACATTTAGGCAATAAATGTAATAACTGTCAATATGAGTCAGAGTTGTGAATAAATTCAGCTGATTAGATGATCTTCATCTAACTAAAAATTTTGTATATTATTTTTATGATTGCTTGGAGTTTTGTTTATATTCCATTATGTTTTCAAGAACTTTTTGAGGATAATACTATAAACAAGGTTACTTTCATCTCATTCGAACTTCATAAAAAGCGCAATGTGAATCTTTATGAAGAAGTTTGACTTTTGAAATTGCTATTCGTGTGCTCACACCCATATCAGATTCTCCTTTCAAACCTCAAAATATTTTTACTTTCAAATCTGTATCATATCAACAGTAAATAAACATTTGGAACTAAAATTCTTTGTAGACGCTACAAAAACATTTTATGGTGCTAGCACAAGGGCAATTTTATTGTAATCATCCGCATTCACCTGGTCCAACATTTAGAACAAATGGTCTAGAAAACTGTATATTCTTACATGTTTTCTAAATTCCAACCTAACCTAACACTCAATTCAACAACAAAAATAATAATCAAAAGATATTATGAGATTTGGAAGAAGCTGATGATTATCTATTCAAATACATATGAAAACACAATACACAAACATATCTACATATATAGATGATGTGATGTTTATTTATCAGATTCAACACCATTGCTGCTGATGTCATATTATTATAGCGACATAGATTAGAATTGCAATCATCCGACTTGAAAATTGAAAACTATGTGGGTTCATGTTTGTGATCCATATATTTTGCGGATGCATGTGAGAATCATATAATATCTCCATTTGCTTTGTGATGTATAATGCGCTATAGATCACTTCACTACACTGTATGTTTAAAGTTACTAATATGAAATTATGTAAGCATGTCTGTTATTGTAACATTGCATCATATATATTGGAATACAATCTGCACAGAGCAATAACGTGATTTGGTATTTTGAATTGTGAATACTTGATATGGAACACCAGTTTTCACGTGTATTCAATATTTGATGTATGTTACATCAGGATTGCATCTGGATAAATGGTTATCGAAAACCCCAGTAGGAAAAGACCATTAATGATAAGAAGAGGGTTTAGTTATAGTCTTTCTTTCAGTTCGTATTCCAGTCCTTTGTGGAATTTTTCTCCGAAACTTTTGGGGGGTGGAATATAGATTGTAATTTATATTCCACGCACCTCATTTTTCTTCACAAAGATTGAACGATATTTATTAGCTTAAGAAAAATTGCATTCACGAGGGTGGACTTTAGTTGAATAACGACGACCCCTAACTAAGTTTAACCGCATGTGTTGCACCGGCCCAGTTTAATTGTCAGCTGACGCAGTTGTTCCTTGAAACCCCGGCAACCCCAGAGGGAGCTTCGAGATAGGCCGGGCAGGGCAGAGATTCCCGCTGAATATATTTGGGCGTTTCGAGAAACTGCAGAGAGGAGAAGAGGAAGCAAGGGAGAGGGAGAGAGGGCGGTGCCAACTGAAGGGCAGAGGACAGCAGTGACACAGGACGAGGAGAAGAGCAATCGCGAATTTTCGGAATCTGTCGTGAACATTGCATTGCTGGGCGAGGCAGTGAATTGGCTATTGTTGAGCAATCGGACGTCGATTGAACGATCAAGGATCCGAACATTTTCAAGGAATAGACGAAGAGGAGGAATAAGGAGCAGCAGATTGCGTGAATTGTAACGTCCTCTCTTGCTCTGCTCTGCCTACGAGCAGACAGTCTTGTGAGATCGGGTGAGACGTTTGGTATTTAGGGAGCATGGTGTTGATAGTGGACGAGGAAGATGATGAAAAGCAGGTGACACCGCCACCGTCGTCGTTGAAAAAGGAGGACGGAGCCAAAGTGAAAGTCGTACAGAGGGAAAAGGACGATTTGACAGGCAGCAGCGGAGGGCGAGGAGCAGCGGATGTAGGGCACGATGAGGACGAGGACGGGTGGGAGACTGCGAGCGAGGGCAGGGAGGATTATGAAGAAGCGAGCGAAGGAGGGGATGACGAAAACAAGAGCGATTCTGACTCTGAGATGAAGACCAACGTGGAAGGCGGAATTGGCATCGGGGAATCTGATCCTGTGCCCTCGACGCCCAAGGGTTCTGGTTGTAATGAGGTCTTGGAATTGGGGAACAAGCTCAGCGAAGTGAATGTCGAAGAAGTGAATGTCGAAGAGGTTCGGAAACAGGGATTAGAGGTAGCCAATGCCGCAAAAGCTGAAGGGAATGCTCTGTACGGGGAGAAAAAGTTTGTGGAAGCACTACAGGCGTACGATCGTGGGTTGCGCGCTTCTGAGCTCAAGGACTTTGAAGAAGACCCGTCTGTGAAGGAGATCCGGGCGATTCTATACTCGAACCGGGCTGCTTGTTACATAGGGCTTGATAATAGTGATTCTGCTGTCAAAGAATGTTCGAAAGCGTTGGAGTTGAATCCTGCGTATATGAAAGCTTTGGTGAGGCGTGCTCAAGCTCGGGAGAAACTTACAAACTACGAAGAGGCAATGGCAGATTGGAATAAGGTGCTGGAAGTTGATCCTGGGAATGCACTAGCTAGATCGGCCTTGAGAACTTTAGGTCCGCTAGCTGAAGAAAAACGCGAGAAATTGAAGGCAGAGATGCTTGGTAAATTGAAGGAAGCGGGAAACTCTATTTTAGGACACTTTGGGATGAGTGTTGACAACTTTAAGACAGTGCAGGATCCTAATACAGGCTCCTATTCCATACAGTTTCAACGATAATTTATGTAAGTGTTGGTTGAATTACATCATCTTTCCATTATGACGACAAATTAGTTCCTCTAGTTTCATGGTGTCTATATTTCTTATCTACGTACATTTTCAGTTGAAAATGCAGGTGTGCACATTGATTGGGTACTGTGTCAAGGTAGCATCATGTATAAAATTGTCCGTATTACTTTCTGGTGAATGCTTGTCTTAGGATACACTGAAATGACCTATTGTACAATCTTACAGTCGTGTAGCTTTGTTTAGCCAAAAGATGAAATATGAAAAAGAGATGATTCCTAAACGATCAACTGTTTCAAACACCTGACGACAATGAGTTTGGAAGCTCTTACTTAGACCTCAACGCATAGAATTTGATCGTGGAAGTTAGTCTAAATTGACGTTCTTTGGATGTGTTCAATTCGAGTAGTAATTTTTGCATCGATCACTAATACCGGTATTTCTTTACTAACAACGAAAAGTTGTCGTTTGTAACAAGTCAGATCATGAAATGTTATGAATCTTGTTTTATAGCTTTCCGATTCCGATATTTTTGGGCGTACACCACTCACAAGTACCCGACTGATGGGAGAGAAGAGTAAATTTTGTCCAGGTTAGCATATGTTCCTACTTCAACTGCCAATTCAAACACTCGGATTTCTAGGTGTATGTACTATGCCAACTAGAGGAAAAGAGAAATCACCTGAGGTGAGGAAGTGTGATTAGTCCTTCACATATGGAACTGAGGAACATGGAAAAAGGACAGAACATGGTTTCTTAAGCTCCATTGGAATGTACATTGACAGGATTATGCAATTGATAGAGTATTAATGACTTTGTTTTATTTCTGTTTGAAATTGGGATTTTCAACTTGGATGTCTGATTTTGGTATATAAGATTTCAAGGGGATTTAATTAGAAAATTAAAAATATAATACATTGCACTTCATGGATACACCTAAAATGAAAAAGATTGTAATGAAGTCGTTGGTATATATATGAGATTGTGTATTGGCATATTCTTGGAATGATCAATAATTTATAAGATAGTACCACATGCATGTGGGAATGGATACTGTCGAAACAAATTTTTGTGTATATAATTCATCGAAATTTCAATTTCGATACTGTTTATTTCAATTTTTTTTATATGTTAGCTACATTATACTGTCCTCATATATTGAAATTTTATCGTTCATTCCAAATAAACATGATTAATTTTTGGAACACAATTTAAAAAACCTTGTCTAAATTTGTTAGATTTTCTGTGCGGTATTTGTGTTTTAATAAAAATAACAATTATCAAAATAATAATTGTCCACACATAAAACGTCTGTATGATTTTGTTTAAATCCTTTATTACTTTGTAGAAAGAGACATTCATGTCCTCATGTATTTAAAGAATAAACCCAAATGAGAAAATATGCTATGAGATTTTAGACAGTCTCTTAAAAAAAAGGTTTTCAACATCGTTTTAATCTCAAAACTCATACATAGTCTACTCGAAACGAGTAGGTGTTAATAGCAGTAGAAAATACTTCTCTGAAAAACAAGCAATAACGTTGTTGAAACGCTTGATTTACACAGTTGAAGTATGGTATATCTTCCATTGAGATGCTAGCAACACCTCGAACCATGACGAATATTGCAAGTGGGTAACCCGTTTGGTCTCATCCATGTAATACTTCATGGAATCTTCACCATGGCTTTTTGAGTATTTTAGTCGAGATCAACAACTGAACATGATCCCTTGAGCATGATGTCTTCCAATATGTTTCTTGAAAGTGATAAGTAAAAAGTCCCACCAAAATGCGAAGACTTAAAATTCTTTGCATCATGCTCCATAGCAAAATGTTAGGGCTTTGTGAAGATGAGGAAACTCCAGTGAAACATACCACCAGTGTCTCTTACTATAATTGTAAAACCTTTTCGGTCTGAGGACAGGTTTGGACGAGAAACAGTTAATATTGATAAAAGATTTCACAGGAGTGCAGATAAGGCTGTCACTGTTTTCACAGAGTGCGGAAATTTCCATATTACAAAAATACCCCAAAGCTAATCGCTTTCTTCACTAAGCTATGCAGGGAACCCAAGCTAAGTAAACTAAGTTCGTGGATTTGAACACAAAGATCATCATGGAAGATCAGATGATACCTGAACAGATAAACAACTCCAACTTGACATTCAGCTACAGATGCGTTTCTTGATCGAAAGCCGCTGCTCTCATATGGAAATGCTTCCTCACCTCTACTTCCATTGAAACAAGCGTCTTGTAATTGAACTCAGCGGCAATGGTAAGTTTGGGAGAGTGGCTGACTGAAAATCTGCGTGGTACTCCACTGTCATTAAGTCACTAAAGTATGAATTTGCTGCACCTAAACGACGGTCGGAAATGCAGCTGATTGAGTTAATCGTCTTAGTTCCCCTGTCTCCAGGGCAAAGCTGCGATGCCGCTGCAGAACGGCAGGGTTTATAGCTTCCTCCAGGTGGCTTTGCAGACTATCGTTCTCAGTAACAGCCCCGCTCAAGGCGTGTGCAATAACAGTCTGCAAGATTTGCAGTGTATCGCCATGACTAACAATTATTACAGCGTGCCTGCCACAGAAGCAGAAAGCAAATTACACTTTGATACATTCCACTTCACCTCAGCACATCTGTAACTTCTCTACTATCAGATTTGAAAAGCAGACCTAGATGTTCAAAGGACTTTCCAAGAGTTTTCGATGCATATTAACGAAGTTGGTTTAATTGGTCACATCTGAGCTCCTGCATCACTGGTACAAAACTCTATGACTAGGGAATGTGTAGGAAGAATAATGATGAAGTAGATTAGCTAGTCATTTGCAGAAACCATCTCTAGAGCATTTTTACCACCTCCAAACAACACATCAAAGGCAGTGTAGGGACTGTCGAGAAACTCGGACATGGATACAATGAAGTGTCAGCCATGTGTATACTCATACCCATTCACTTCCTGTTCAATCCTTAGTAAAGCTCGTATGACTCTAATTGCAACATCCGCAACACTCTCGCCACCCTCCGATCCGACCATAGGATCCTGGGCATCAATCTTCCAGATTTCCGGATACTGCAAAGCAAATATACAAACCGTTCGTTGAAAGAGTACTATGGCACAACCGTTCTTTAGAATCAGAACTGGAATTCTATACAACAAACCATAAGCAAGAATGAGATTGTTGTATACAAATATATAAAATCCAATGAATCCGAAGTCTTCGTCTACCGGGAGCCTGCCTAAGGGGGCTCCCGAATTGATGAACAAATAGTTGGCGAGACGAACTGAAGATTCTTACATGATCGTGAGATTGCAGCTCCAGAGGCGAGCCAAAAAAACGCTCCCTTAGATCTTCCAGAAACTGGGCTATCCATTACGTTCAGTCAGTGGAAGCATCACCAGTGTGTACAAAGCAGCTTTGTAAGATCATGTCTTCAGGCACACCGAAGCACAAGCCAATAGAATAATCGTTTGCTGAAGTGGAGACATGTATTTTTCAACTTCACCAAAAACTGCTGAGAACAAGTGGTCGGACTTTATCATGCCTTGACTTGTCACTCAAGGGAACAACGATTCGGATTACTAGTCCAGGAAGACCAAATGAGTGAAAGGGGTTGAACACTGAGACAACCCAGAACGAGGCAAGCCTCCGAGAAAGGCTAGCCTTGTTCTGGGTTGTCTGCGCTTTTGCAAAGCCAGCAATGAACTTCAGATTTCGATCAAGTGAAATGCGATCAGCTGATTCGGATATCACATTGAGGAAGAATAGACGAATGCAAAATACGTATAGACATTCATTCTACTTAGCGAAACTGACCTCAATCGTCGGATGTAATTTATGCTGCGTCAACACTGCGGTTACTGCCTCTGCTGTCTGCCTGGTTCGACTAAAAGGTGATGAAAAAAGCTTGATGTTACGAGCAGGAATCCCCGAATCTTGAATATTCTGGACAGATTCATTCATCCACCAGCAAGCAGCCACTCATGAGATGACAGCACTTTGATAAACCTGCGGGTATGAAGTCAGAACGAAAATGCAAGAGTTGGACACAAACACACGCAGCTTCGGTTGAGGCAAGAACGTAGGAAATGAGATAGTCAATGCGTGAGATCAGGTAGCCACAAGCATTCACAGCATTCTGTGTAGACTGAATTGATCCCCAGTGTCTCTCGATCTGCTACGAACGAGCAAATGAAGAATCATCACTTCTTAATAGCAGTGGATTCTGTCCCTAATTACCTTCAGAAAAAGCTCTCCTGCCGAAGTGGCTTGAATAAATCCGGATGCAGCCAGTCCATAGCCTGGCGACAAACCATTACTCTACATTCAACGAAAAAATTCAGTTTCAATATCTACTCATATCAAGAGATGGTCAATCCCCAAGACAAATTGTCACTGCACGCATCCAATGCTTCTGTTTGCGACTCTGTCAATTTGACAAGAAAGAATGAATGCCCAAATCAACAATATTTCTAACTAATGTGAGTGGGGTGGCATCCCATGTCCATGAGCAATCACTAAAGTGAAGACCAACTAGACTGCCCGTGCAAACGTATACTAATTCTAACAGCATTCCCATTGTAAGTACTGACATACTGTGATGTGAAGATATACAGATTGCCTGAATGCTGGGAGAAACACACCAGCGAGGACACAATGAGGCCGGATTCATTTGGAATACTACGCCCATGACGCAGGAACCAATAATGATTTTTCAGCAGCGATGGCCCCGGCAAACTCATGCTCTCTGCTGACTGCCGGGCTTCCAATTGTATTCAGATCCAACTATTGCCAGCTACTTTTCTTCTTACTTCAACACCTTCTGTTTTGACGCGACATCAAGCCACAATCCAGCACATGGAAACGATAGCAGTATTCAGCTGAGGTGAGATATCCGGATCATTCGTGCAGATGATTCTCACTCCTTCGCCGGACCATCACAATCATAGGAACTCGTGAAAGGACAAGACATCTTTACGGACACAAGCTTACCATGAAAACTGCGAGTTCAGCATGGGGTAGACAAACATAAGGATCCTTCTGGTAAGAATCCATCATCCTTGGATTTCACTCTCCCATAGGGTCTCCACGGGTAGCCAGCCAATGATATGAGCACTTAAAAACAAGTGTGCGCCAAATCATAAACTGAATATACAGCGGAACTTATTTAACACTTGTAATCATGTAAATTGGCTAGTGAATTCTGCGCTTGATGGCTCTACTTCTGATAATCATATCGAGTTACACTTTTATGGGCATGTCGTAATAAACGAAAGTGATAAATTATACAACTTCAGGTTTTTTCCTTTCAAGGTTTCAAGTAATTGCAATGTATATAAATCTATCTTCATACAGTAATAGATTATACATGTTTATCCATGCAATGGAATATATGTTTCTCAGCAAATATATGTTTGTCGATTTGGAATCCCGGGTATTCCATAGTTTTTATTAATTCGACCTAGCTGTGGAACATGCACTTTACACCAAAGAGAATTGATTGTTGATTTGAATCACATGCATCCCATTTCAATTTTCTTTAAAATCTTATATTGCAATATGATTTTACATTCAAGACAAAAAGTGGAGTATCAATAATATTTATGCATACAAACCTAACTAAAATGAATCATGTTTTAATCATTTATGTGTCATACAAATACGTATTGTCATGCAACATATATAGCTGACATACTATACATACACACAAATCATATACGAGATTATACTTAAATCAAACTTATAATGTCATCTAGGTCAATTGTCATACTCATGGCTAGTGCATGGATTCCAACTCAAACCATCAAAATCAAAATTTGTAAATCTAAGTCTATGCACCATCTGAAAATCATACTTCTGTAACATGATAGGTCACAGCGCAAGTTTTCCCATGAACTTGTCGGACTCCATCAACCACTTGAGCGGCTGGTAATCAATAACAAAGGTAAACTGCGTACCAAAAACAATAACATATGAAGTACATCACAACACTTACCGCTGCCAAACGTACTTCCTCGTACAAATTATATCGCGACTCTGCTGCATTGTTCAAACGATTAGCATACACAATCACAAACTTCTTAGCCTCATCATCACGCTGCGTCAACACTGCTCCAAGTTCCAACATAATACCAATCAATGTGTAACTGGTATGAACGACCTCTGATGAATCTACTCAAGATGGGAGCGGCCACCAACTTGGCCTTGAGCTCAACAATGTATTATGTAGAAAAGTGATACATATATTTTGCAAAATTTTGAATAGCAAAAGTTTGCAAATCATCAAGATTTTGAATCCAAATTGTGTTTGAGTTTTTTTTCAATAACATGTTTGTCTAAGTATCATTGCTCTTTTCAACGAGTCTAAACTTCGATCCGGATGAGCGTGAAGTGGAATGTTTAAAAAAGTTGAACCTTTGCGGTTTGTGTTAGAATGCAACGTCAAAGACGTGTGAGTTCAAGTATTGTATGTCAAGATGAATCCGAGAGATCCCTCATTTGTCCTTGTCGTGAGGTAGATGATATATGTGGATGATATATATTTTTTTGATGTTTTTGTTCTCTTCCTCTATTTTATAAATATCATACTCAAGAATCATTTTCTATGCATCCGGTGTCATTTTGTTTTGCTACTTTTTCTTTTCTTTTTCATTTTCTTTTCTAACAACATTTTGAATTTTTTTGCCTTTTTTGTCCAAAGTCATTAGTTATCTTTCTTTTTTTAACCAACAATATTTCAGAATACTAATTATATTCTTCTAGAGTTATTTTATTCTTTCCTTTATTCATTAGTTTTTTCTCAACACCATCAAAAAAAATCTTTTTGTATTTAGCCATATGCATTTTGTTGTGTTATTTATTTTCTTGCTTTTTCTCAACATCGTCTTCAAATATCATTAAGTTAAATGTCATGTAGTTAAACTTCTAAAGACATGACATAATTGGAAAACAATCATATTGATTCATTGCTATTATTATTGCTACAAATTCAACTTTGATAATAAATAATGATAAAAAATTTCACTTATTTACACATTCAAATGTAAACATATATCAAGTTTTGAAATTTACTTTCATTTAGATTTTGCATATAATCCATGTTTTTATATCCATTTAATGTTTCACATTGTATAATTTAGCACAAAACACAATATGAAAATCTAACATATACATGAAATATATGAGAATAATTTCACATATAATCACAATATTTTTTCTGATGTCTGATTAAATATTAACCATATTGATCATAACAAAAAAAATTCAGCAAAAATTATCAATAATATGAAATACCTCATGAACAAGTTGAAAAAAAAATATTAAATTTTATTTGCATGTAATTCTATATAATTTTATATATTTATATGTAATTTTACTCTAGCAAAGATAAAGAACGGAACAAGAAAAAATAATTTAATGAAATGTTACAAAAAGAAAACATATTAATATGATTAAAGCTTGATTTGAGAATACAAATTAGCATTCAAATACTTGCAATGTTTAAACTTGTGAGTATTATTCTAGCATGATTATTTTGAATAAAATACAGTTTGATATTTTTTGAAAGTTAATAATCAAATTATATCTAAGTCTTTCTACAATTCTAATTTCTTTTTGAAATCTACATGAATTTGAATTTATGTATATCACATCTGTTACAAGACGCAGTGAGCATATTGTCCATATAAAAGATTAAATGTATTAAAAAAGGTGCAGTTAAATTTCTATGAGTTTATAAGATCATGACACTGCATAAATCATAATCTAATTACATGATTCACTCCGGATAAAAATTTCAACAACTTACGAATATTATAGTTTTTAATTTTTATTCACAAAGTTTAATAAAATTTTTTTTATAAAAATTATCAAATCAAATAATTGTATAAAAAGTCAAATAAAAAACTTTTTTGAAGTAAAGAATCGAAACAAAATCACAAGTACATACAACATGCAAATAATAACAAAACTAACATCAATATATATATATATATATATATATATATTTAATACATGAGATTAATTCACGTTGAAATTAAAAAAAATTTACAAATTTTTATTTATTTTTATTTTTATAAAATTTTGTAGGGGTAAATTCTCTATACTTGAACTGAAATGGGTGATTTTCCCTATTTATTAATAATTGAAATTTAAATTAAATCTAAGAAAATAATTCATAAAAATTAATTGATATTTAATATTCAATAATGAAAAGTTTTTTTTGGATCAAAAAGGGATAATAAACCAAAAAAATTTAAATTTTTAACTCATTTGAAATTAATATTTTTTTTAAGTATTGTTTATTTTTAAATTTTTTTTATGTTTTGTTATTAAACATAAATATAAATATATATATATATCTAATTTTTTGACAAAAAATTAATAGTGCACCCCTTCCAAATTATTTATCTCTTTTTTCATATAAATATATTTTTTTAAAATTTCTTTTGCTTGAAGGATAGAGGTTTAATATTTATCATTGTTATAAAAACTTAATTTATTCAGAAATATTGTAAAAAAATAATCAGAAAAAGTTATTTTATTTATTTTGATATAATTTTGAATTTTATTCATTTGGAACTATTTTAATGCAAAGCTATTCATATTATTCATATGTATTGTTATTCATAATTGATTTAAATTCAATTTAATGTAAATTTCAAAAAAATGTAATGTTTTGGCTATGAAAGAATTTTATATTTTATTAATTTATCATTTTTTTGCCGATTCATTTAAAATTTTAATATTAATCTATTTGTTTATACTCATTACTACTACTATTTTTTGTATCATAAGGGTATTTTAAAATGTTTTTTTATAATTTTGAATACTATATTATTTTATTTTAAATTATTTTTTTGGGCTTAATTTAGAATTAAATATTAAATAATTTTTTCCTTGAAATTTGAATTAAATGAAACCCTAAATCAAGTTACATAGAAAACCTGAATGAATACTGCAAAAAAATGATATTTGAATTTCAATTCCTAAATTCACTCAACACCCTTACACATATTGCAAAATTGATGAAATTATGTAATAATTATATTCTATATATTCATGTTTATTCAAAATCACTATTTCTAGACCATTTAGATCCATATCAGTTGTAGTAGTATGTTGAGACTTGAAAAGATAAGAAAATTCCAAAACTAAATTTACTTTTAGATTTTTAAATTTATTCCTATTAATTTTTGATGGTTTTTAAAACATGAAATAAAATATATGTTCAATAATTATTTAAATTTATTTTATGATGAGCTTGTCCTGAATAAAAACTCTCAATCCAAGACGTATTTTTCATGAAAAATATAAACTTTCATGTAAAATAAAATTAAAAATAACTTAAGTTTAATATTTAGAATCTGAGTAAAATCAATTCATCCTTATCACTACATGATAAAAACTTCGTGAAATAATTTTCAAATATTTAAGTAGACTCTAAGCAGTTTAGTATGTGTGATGAACTGAAACAATTCTCGCATATCATGAACAATCTTTTGCAAATCGACATACAGAAAAGAGTAGTACACAACCGTGAAAACATAAAAAAAATTTGAATTTGGTGCAAATTAATATAATTTGAAAGATGACATATAGTCATGGGGTTCTAGGGTTTAAACCCTTAACCTTAAGGACTATTCGACTTGGGTGAATGGAGTGGAATTCAAGTCTAATCATGTACCTTATTTTTATATATATTCCAACAAGTGAAGTATTCCATAACATGATAAGTGAGGTGTCATCGGGTCTAGCATCACATGATTCAGACAATCCACGCTGATTTGTGCTGACATAACTACGTGCTTTCACGGGGAGAGCATATAGTTCCACGCTCTAAGAAAATTGAAGTTTAAAAACATTCAATCCTTAGCCTAGAGGTCTTGAGAGCGAGGATGCCGGCGATGAAATGACGTCATGGGTTGCGCTGTCTTGTCTTGAAAACACTAAATCTTAACTGCCAATTCTCCGAGACAAAGTTTTTAGTACA